TAAAGAAACACAAAGAAATGTATATTTTTTCGTTAGGTTCAGAATGATTTTTGCGAAATTATTGCATACACAAATTTTCGTTTGCCTTATTCGGCAAGAAGAGTGTTGCTGTTTAAGCTAAAATGGCAAGTTTTATCTATTCGGCACGAATTATATTTTATTTTTATATATATATATATATATAATATATATAATTATTATATATATATATATATATAAGTTCGTCTCCTACGCACAGGTTATTTATGCATGTCCTGGCAAAGCTGGGCTCATCAGCAGTCTCCAACATGGTGGTGCTCTCAACCACTGTGCAGTGATGGGTACACTAGATTTGACAACTCTGTTCTAAGTGATATAGGCAGGCGTCTCTCTGGTGAGATAATCACACTAGCTCTGTGTGTGTGTGTGTGAAAAAAGTAAAAACAATATTTCTGTTATCTTGAGCTATCGCGTGAACCGTTAGTGATGAGACTTTGACATTCAAAATAGGTGAAGTTGGCGAAACTGAAAGACACCTGTGGATATCACCTGGAATAGGGTTATTAAATCTATTTTAGCCAACACAGCAGAGAGGTCGAGTGCAGGTCTAGCCCATGTTTAGCTTCGCGTTTAAACTTCGCCCCTTCCTTGAAAAAAAAAAATAGCCGTGATATTAAATTTTTTCCCCTGAAGCACACACACACACACACACACACACACACACACACACACACACACACACACACACATAAAACACACACACACACACACACACTGTTGAAAACCAGTACTGCAACCTGAAAAAATAATTTATTCACTATTAATTTCAAGGTAAACTGTACTTCATCAAGTGATCAAGTATTATACAAAATTTGGATAAAATCAAGACACTACTCCCCCCCCCCGCGCACACACATGTACACGAAATACGCATGTCCCAGTTTCCTTGTGTGTTTACGTTAATGTACACGTGTGTACACTTGCACATAATGTGCGTACATGTACACTTGCGCGTAGACGTGCGCACGCGCGGTGACCCCTAGTGTCACTTAGAAAGTGAAAGGCAATTTTCCAGCTATGTAAAGCTACCCGTAACAGTGGCTACCATCTCCAGGTAACCGGTTCCAGCCCTTCCCACTCCTCTGCCATACCTTTATTACTTGTTCAACCTCATTCCTCAGTCTCCATCCCCAAAACCTGATCACTCCTTTCATTCCCCCTCTGTCCTTCCCAATAACCTCATTACCACTCTCATTCCTCTCCCTTCCCTGTAACCTCACTCCCTCTCATTCCTCTCTACTTCCCCACAACCCCTCTCAATCCACTTTCCCTATACACATATGCTCTTTCTCCTCATTCTTTCCTAAAACTTAATCACTTTTCTTTTTCATTCCATCATCCTTTCTTTCTCATTTCTAGCTCTCTTCACTACCCTTTTACGTTTCTCCCCCACTTCTCTCTCTTCACCACTACTGCCTCTGCCGCTCCTTGCTTTAACACTCTCCTCTAAACAAAGAAGCCACATCTCCCTTCACTATTCTTTCTGCTCGCACAATTATATCACCGTTTGTATTTTCCTGATCCTAGTCTCTTGAGTGTGTGATTATTCATAATTCTCTTTGGTTACAGTAGTAAACTTTGCCATAGCTTGTGTGTTCTCTACCTCCTGAAGGTAGTTTTTTTTCGTAAAGTCAAACTGGAGGTCATTTGATTCAAATACATCATATAATATTTTTGTTACATGGCTTCATAACTGCAACTGTTCACCTGACTTACTCATTTTTTAAGACTAAAATATTCTTCCCTGTGCGCATGCTCGTGGTCTCTCATGATCTTACAGGTAGTCACATTATTCCCTGGGCGTTTGCTTGTGGTTTCACATGGTCTTCTACGCGGTCATCTCTTCACAGGACTAGAAACCCTTCAATAACGTTGAGGCTGGGGATCGGTTCTAATCCTGTGAAATGGAACTGCCTTTCTATTTGAGCAAACCTGGTTACCCCTCCTCCCTATCCATCTTATTCCTGAGACGCCATATTTCCTTTATTTAACGTCAGAACTATCAGCGTAAGCACATTGTAACTGAAGTACATGTAAAATGAGTCCCTGAAAATGTGGGAATGACTCTTGAACTTCTACCAAATCGAATCGAAAGAGTAATAATCGACAAAGCAAAGTCAAGGGCAAGTTTGATTTATTTTTTTTTTTTTGTATTTCTTGATGTGGCTCTCGCTCTGGCACTCACTTATTCCCGTATCACACACAAGCAATATAATCATAGCACTGTCGTCATCGTTCGAAGATGATACTAGAAACTGAATAAGAGTGACGTCCTTCGATGACACGGCAAACTACCAAACTAATACTTATCAAATCTTGACATGTTAAACAAAAACCAGTCCTGTTACTCGGTGCATTTGGCTCACAGCCGATAGGACCCGGGTTAGATTTCCCGGGCTGAGTAAGACATCTGAGCATATCTTTATTCTCGCTGCCCCTGTTCACCTAGAAATAAATATATATTGAGGTGTTAACCGACTGCTGTGAATGGTATCTTAGGGGGTGGTAGTATACCTTGGATAGGGCTAGGTTTTAAAATGAGCTGAAGCGAGGTAACAGTTCTCACCCTGCAAGTTGAGGTGTAAAAAAAAATATTATTATGCTCATCATACAGAAATTTCAGCTCTTCAGCTGTGGAAGAGCACACCACGCAACCACCACACAGTAGAGCGGAAGTGTACGGGGCCCTAGGGAACTTGAGTTCAAAGATCACAATACTACTATTTCAGCTGCAAGACGTAATGAGTTAGAACCGCCAAAAAAAAAAAAAAAAAAAATAGAACCTAAAGAGCTATGATAGGCTGGAACTGCATAAATAAAGTTTAGTACCTTAAGAACTATAAAAAAAATATACTGGACAGCAAAGATATGCAAATGTGTAAAAAGATATACAAACAACATATACAAATTCAATGATGATAAGCTTTAAGGCACTTCTTTTCTCTAGGTTAGAATGTTACTGTACACTAACAGCCTTATTTACAGCTGACGAAATGTCAGATGTGGAGAATGTTCAGACACCTTTCACTCCCGCATCTATTGTCACGCTTAAATTATTGGGAACGCGAGAAATCTCTTAAACAATACTCCTGGAGCGCAGACGAGGAAGTTGTATCATAATTTACTAGACAGACGGTTTCGTAATCTAAAGACGAAATAGAAGACAATGATGACTTCATTAACCCCAGAAGACTAGTAACCCAGGATAATCAAAGAAAAGCCAGTCAGCGTGGCTTATTTCTGTTAGGGTTCATTTGGCCCCTTATTGCAGGATATCGCTCAAAACAATTTACCAACACCCTTGTACCTGTTTAATTGCTTGAAGAACAGGGGCAGAAAATGTAAGGAGGCATGCTCATGCGTCTTGCCTCCACCGACAGCGCGATCACGGAAGTGGAATATATCTTACTAGGGCGGGGGCCGCAATACAATGCAAATATGACCCAGAACTCTCCGAGTTCATAGATATCGAATGCATAATAAAAAAAAATTGGAGCTATCCTCTCCTTTCCCCAGGAGCTTTATAACTCCTTGTTTAACGCTTCTCCATGAATATAATAATAATACCTTAATACCTTGGTATTGTCGTAAAAACAGTCAAATGAGTGGCTGCGGACGGCGCCTTGAACAGTTGAAATATGAATTTTTGTTTTGTTTTAGCATTGCACAGTGGGTGCCCGTTTTCTGTTCGCGCGGCAGACTTGTTTTTATCTACTTTTCTCTTGTATTGAAAGTTTACTAACCTAACCTAGAAATGTGCTGCAAATCGTATGTGAAGTGACGTAATTGCTAAGAGGATGGGTTGGGAAAGCGAGCCGCGGAGGCGATGATCCCGGAACACTTCACCAGGTAGGAAAGGTGTGGGTATGGAAGGACTTGGAAAGGTCTGGGTCAAGGAGTGAGTGTTGTGGAAGAAGGAATTTGAAAAGTGAGAGGTGTAGATGTTTTGAGGGAGATGGAGAGAGGGACAGGAGGTAAGGGGGAGTGGAAGTAGGAGGAAGAGGAAATATGAAGGTGTGTAAAGAAGTAGCAGGGAAAAGAAATAGGGGTGTGTGTAAGGGAATAGGAGACGGAGAGGGAGTAAGAGCCTGTGTACACGTATAGGAGAGGGACACATATCTGTAGGTCACCGGTTTTGTATGTATCATTCAACTCGAAAGTCACCTATGTTCATTTAAATATGTTCATTCACTTCACTCGTGTTCAAGTGAATGTACCTTTTGTTCAGTAGGGCGCCATGAATATCGTCAGCTTTGAGTTCACCGGAGAGAAAGCATGTTCCGATGCTATTGAATGTGAAAAGGTATGCCACTAGGCTGGTTTTAGAACTGAGTGGGTTAGAACTATGAGGAGAATCTCAAGGAATTAAACTTGACAATCTTGGAAGGAAGAAAGACTACGGGAGACGTAACGATCTACAAAATATTCAAATAATTTAATAGAGCACACAGAAACAGATTTAAAATGCGAGACAGAAGGGCGAATTGGCATTCCTGGAAGCTTATTACACTGTTGAATCATAGGGATAGTCCTTCAGTCTTAGGATGGTAAACACGTGGAATGAGGTGTATGAGTAAGTGGCATGATAATCCAAAAGGTCAAGAACGAATGAATACCGGCCAATTTTTAAGTTAATCGGTGAGGCCCGGGTGAATATAAAGTCGCGCAAACAGCTCAGTACATTCGTACGCCCGTCAGTAACTTAATTGCATTTCTTTCTTTCTCTCTGTAAATTTCTCTCTTTCTCGTGTAAATTTCTCTTTCTCTCTCTTTCTCTTTCTCTTTCTCTCTCTTTCTCTTTCTCTCTCTTTCTCTTTCTCTCTTTCTCTTTCTCTCTCTTTCTCTTTCTCTTTTTCTCTTTCTCTTTCTCTCTCTCTCTCTCTCTCTCTCTCTCTCTCTCTCTCTCTCTCTCTCTCTCTCTCTCTCTCTCTCTCTCTCTCTCTCTCTCTCTCTCTCTCTCTCGTGTAAATTAAGCTTCACTCACCGTCTCTTTTGTGGATGTATTTCTGTAGGGTTAAGGGGTGGACGATGTCCAGGATGTTGTATGATGATCCGTTCTTGGTGGTCCAGGCGAGGCCGGTGAGGTAAGGGTGGTCATTCAGGTTGTGGCCCACTCCTGGAACGTTTACCAATACGGGGATCTGGCCAAGAGAAGATGATGAACTTTATACTTTTGGTATGGAGGTCAACTGAAACGTTCGGGAGACAAGTTTTTACATGGCCCGTGACTACGTGGTTCTGAGGATATTCCTTTCATATGTTACATTCTGGAAACCTTTTGACTTTAAGTGTCTATAGTGAAGGATGCTCCGGGTAATAGCGTGTTTATACTAAGTAAAAATTGGAAATGAGTAATTTTCTTAGAATAACGTGGGTTTCCAGAATCAAGGGTCAAATTTTTCGTGGCCTTCGCTAGATGAACGAATTTAGGCCATATGTAAAGACAAAATCTGAAGTGCAATATTCGTAACGCGATAGTTATTTAGTGTAGCAGTATAAAAATGAACCACCACAATGAAGCGCAGCTTTCACACACACTCACTGAAAAGTCCTAAATACGAAGGTAATCATGAACAGATAATGAGACTACAGAGTTTCGTGCACAAAAAATATTGATACATACTCCGTGTTGGTAAAGGTGATCAGCAGGTCCCACCCCTGACAACATCAGTATCTGGGGTGAACCGATGGCCCCAGCAGACAATAACACCTCCCTACGAGCGTACACTGACTTCAGCTGTGGGCAGACAGAGGGACAAGAAGAGATACGTGGGTGTTTTTGAAAAGGGGCGAGTAGTGTGGGTAGGTGTGTATCAGATTACCTTTTTGTAGTTACAAGAACAGTGTTATTCGCATATTGTCACATTTTTAGTATGTCATGTATTTTGTTTTATTAGTGAGGTTGTAGCACACTACTTGTTCTGGATTACATTTCAGCAGTGTACCACCATGTGAAACCTACTTTCTAATGTGTTTTCGCCACACTTTGTTTAAACGTTACCGTTTGTTTTTCTGGTTGGTGATCCTAAAAAGTATTATTTTTTTTTCATCTTATTTCATCGAATCGTTTCATGGTATTGTGTCGCCATTTTTCTATGTACCACCGAAAGGATTCTCAGTGCTTTCAAACTTTATTTTTTCTTAGCGTTGTGAACTTTTTTGCACTAAGTCTTGGACTTTTTCAATTTTAATTTTTTTTTTTTTTTTTTTTTGCGTGAACACGTACTACAGCATATTCCGATTTTGTTCGAAGGTACAGTGACAATAGTATTTTTTAGCATGTGACCATCCGTATATCTGAAAGCTCTTGCTAAGTTAACCAGTGTAATATACAAGTATCTTGCTACTATATTTATGTACTCTGGGAATATTTTATGTATGGTAACTCTCAGAGCACTTTTACTTTTATTTTAAATATCATAATTTATATTCTTATCAGGTTTGTTTTAGCTTTCTCCAATTTGCATTACGTGACGCCGTCAACACTAAGTTGATTCATACATCGTCCAGCTTCCTCAAACTATACAAGTTTTCTCGGAATCTATGGACATTATATTTGCCTAATTTTGATTAGTTTGCATCATTCGCAAATATATTCATACATATGGTTATTTCTACTAAATAGTTAATATAATTAACAATTTCGGAAGCTTGATTCTTATGAGTCCTCCCTGGTCAAGTTTCTCTGAAGACACTTTTTCCTCATATCACTGGCCCTATTTATTTTCGTGCAAAAAATCTCATCCATTTTGGCACATTCTCATATTCCACTTTTCTGTAGTTCCCAAATTATGCTTTCATAAGCAACACGATCGAAGGCTTTTTCACAATCTCAGTTAATGTAATTTTCTTATCTCTGTGCTGTCTTATATTTGTGACTTATAACAGCAGATTAACTGATTTTATGTGTATAGGAATATGCTGATCCTAACCAAACTGTGATATTTAGTATATGAATTTCTTTTACAACTCTCGTTATCAAAGTAAGCTTATAGTTTATAGGGCTTTTCCTAATTAAAGAAAAAATATAAATGTATTTAAACAAACTCAAAATATCCTATTTACATTGTAATTCTCGTCTTTAATAAAAATCTAATATAAAAATTTGAATACACGATCAAGGGGTTTCACCTGTGCAGATACAATATTATGCATAAAGTATACATGACCCTGAGAAGGTTATATTAAGTCAAAATATTATCATTGCACAATAAAGTTTGGTGTACCTTTCTCCTGTGTTCAAAGCGGACTCCAATTGCTCTCTTGTAGTCATCAAAGAGTATCTGAAAAAGAGACTAGGAATCAAGTATCACTAAGGAAAATTGTGGCTTGGTTCGTCAGGAAGTGAGTAAATGTCTTTTGACTCTGGTTTTTGTCAAATGATGACCCGATTAATGATTAAGCAGCCACTGACAAACTGGAGCCCACACCACTGTTAGCTAACACACCCCACCGGTAGCTATCTATGATTAAGCTGTAGTTATGAGCCCTCGTTTAAGCATTTTCTGGCCTACAGGAGCTACATTTCCCATCCTATTTAGAAATGCAGGAACAGTTAATACCAAGGAAATTCTACTAAAACATGCGCGTGATGATGCGGAAGATGACACCAACTACACTAGTAGCACCAGCCAGTTGGACGCCCCTTCACCACAGACAAACCGTGTAACACTGTTTTCCAGTCAGCGTTTGTGGTAAGTTAACAGCACCAACACAAACATGTAAACATGTGGTTAAATGTATTGGTGCATATAGACATACCGTCTATAAATTGCTAACTGTCCTTTACGATACTACTTACATTATTAATTGCCCTAAATTCATACAATAATGGGCCCTTGAATACATGAGTTCTAAAGAATTTACATCATCAGTCCTTCGACTCGGCTACTAAACCACTGAAACGTGTTTTAATATACATTTATCGACCCTGATATATATAGTAATACACTTGTTAGTTAAATAGTAACCTTGCGAGATGAACAAGTATCGATAACATTTTAACTAAGAGTCCGTATATTTTTCTTCCTGTACTATCTGGTAACCGGTCAGGCACCCTTGGTCCTCGTAGCTATACCTGGAGAGGGTTCGGGGGTCAACGCCCCAGCGGCTCGGTCTGAGACCAGGCCTCGTGGTGGATCAGGGGTCTGATCAACCAGGCTGTTACTGCTGACCGCACGCATAATGACGTACGAACCACAGCCCGGTTGGTCAGGTACTGACTTTAGGTGCCTGTCCAGTGTCTTCTTGAAGACAGCCAGGGGTCTATTGGTAATTCCCCCTATATGTGCTAGGAGGCAGTTAAACAGTCTTGGGCCCCGGACACTTATTATGTTGTCTCTCAGTGTACTCGTGGCGCCCCTGCTTTTCATTGGGGGAATGTTGCATCTCCTTCCGAGTCTTTTGCTTTCATAGGGAGTGATTTTCTAGTACAAGTTTGTTACTAATCCCCCTAGGATTTTCCAAGTGTATATTATCGTGTATCTCTCTCGTCTGCCTTCCAGGAAATACAAATCAAGGGATTTCAACCGTTCCCAGTAATTTAGGTGCCTTATCGTACTTACGTGTGCCGTGAAATTTCTTTGTACACTCTCCAGGTCAGCAGTTTCGCCTGCCTTGAAGGGGGCAGTTAGTGTGCAGCAGTATTCCAGCCTAGAGAGAACAAGCGATTTGAAGAGAATCATCATGGGTTTGGCGTCTCTAGTTTTGAAGGTTCTCATTATCCATCCTGTCATTTTCCTAGCAGATGCGGTAGATACATTGTTGTGGTCTTGGAAGGCAAGATCCTCAACATTATAACTCCCTGACCCTTCACATTACTTTTTCGCTCTGTTGTATGGTTAGAATTTGTTGTATACCCTGATACAGTTTTAATTTCCTAAAGTTTTTCATATTCGATTAGTTGAAATTTCTCTTCATTGAACTTCATATTGTTTTTGAGTGGCCCATTTGAAAATTTGGAGTTCTTGTCACCTCACTTTATATAATAACACTGTAGTTATATACCACACTGGTAATGTATATCTGATTTGCGGATGTGTCCAGAACGTTAATGACACGTTAGATTATTAATTTTCGAGTCTATCAGGTATAAGAGGGTCGTAAAGGCAGCACTCCTAGAACCTACCATCCAGGATACTTTTTAAAAGACTAGTAAAGTAGCTCTCAGTATACACTATATAAAAAAAATGGTTATACAGTTGACCATTGAACAGGGGTTAGGGCTGCCGACTTCCCGGACAGTCAAAAATCCGGGTACAACTTTTGACTCCTCAAAAACTTAACTACTAAATAGCCTACTGTTGACCAGAAGCCTCACCGGTAACATAAACAGTTGATTAACATATATTTTGTATGTTATATGTATTATATACTATATTCTTACAATAAAGTAAGCGAGAGAAAAAAATGTTATTTAAGAAAATCACCAGGGAGAGAAAATACATTTCAGTAATGTGTTTGTCGACACCGTAAGTTTACGTCGTCTGTTTACAAAATGAATCATTTGTCTCAGTACCTACATCAGTATTCTCTTATATGATACAAAACACTTTGCATGTTATACGTATTACTAACACTAGACATCAGAAACGAGAAGATAATGTGAAAAAGAAATTCATATTTATATATAATTTAGTATCGCATCTTTACGCATGTTTACATTTCTCTCGACTACGAATGTAACATGTACTATCTTTAATAATAATAAATTATTATTACTTTTACTATTATTATACTACATATACTGCTGTATATTATTGACCCTTGTGGGTTTAGCGCTTAGTTATGATTATAATTATTATTGCATCTTCACGTTTGTTTACATTTCTCTCGACTACGAGTGGAACATGTACGATCTGTAACTGTTTTTGTGTGCGATAATTTTGATAAATTTTAGCTTTTTTTTATAATAGATTTGTGTATTTTTATAGTAAATAATAAAATGGACTAGTATCTACATATATTTTACGCATTCATGACATACCTAACTTTATCTTAAATTTTCCGGTCCCAAATCTCCATTTTTTTTTCAATATACATGTATTTATTGAAAAAAATCCGCATGTAAGTGGACCCGCGCACTTCAGACCCGTATTGTTCACAGACCCTGAGCTGCTTTGGGGATTAGCGTGGACGGTTACAAAGCATGGCTTGCTTCTGCAGTGTTTTAAAAATTGAGGTTGGAGAGTTGAAGGAAGAAGTCTTGCTTCTCCAGGAGGAGATTAGGAGGCTGAAGGTCCACCTCAATGGATCTGAGAGAGAGTGTGAGGTGGCTGGAGTTGTGGGGAATGAGGCTTCTAGCAGTGAGGTGCAGTCTGTCTCTCGCTGTGAGGAGGCTGTAGTGGGGGAGGTAGCAACGGCTACCAGCAGCGAGGTGCAGCCCAGCACCTGCTACAAGTGGCGAGTGGTTCACAGTAATGGGAGGCGCATCAGAGTAAAGAAAGTTAAGAGTGAAGATCTGAAGGTAGGAAATCGCTTCTCTGTTCTTCAGGATGAATGTACTTCAGTGGCCAGTGAAGGTAAGGGTACTACTGCCCCTGCTAATGGAGGTAAGCGCATTCTTGTGGTTGGTGACTCTCAGGTAAGATATATTGACCGTGCTTTTTGTAATAGGAATAAGATGATGAGAGATAGTGTGCTTCCCTGGAGCTGGTGTTGGGGACATAGTCAACAGGTGGATAATATCATGTCAGGTAATGGGAACAGCCCATTATCTGTCTCAGTGCTGGTGGAAAATGATATTGGGAAGGGTAGGAGAGAAGAGCTGCTAGATAAGTACAGGTCAGCTATAGATTTCATTAAGTTAAGGGAGGATTCCAATCATATGTAGCATCTTGCCTAGAAGGGGAGTAGGAAATGAATGGTTGTTAGGGCAATTGGTGTAAATTGCTGGCTAGACAGATACTGCAAGGAACTTGCAATCCCATTCATTGACAACTGGAACAACTTTTATGGCAAACATGATATGTATGCAAGGGATGGGGTACATCTCTCTGGGGCTGGAGTGGTAGCACTTGCAGACTCGATTGAGAAGGCCATTGGTGAAATGCCTATGATTTTAACTGGTGGAAGATAGAGGTATGGGTGTGTGTGGGAAACAAGCAGGGTTGCAACACTAGGGTTGGAAACAGTAAATGTATAAAAGGCACTCAGCATGAAGTTATAAATAAAAACAATTGATCAGGTCAGCAAACAAAGGGGGACAGCAGAGGGCAGCAAGGGTCTAGCTCCCTTAAGGTTTACTTATACTATAGCAGGAGTGTAAGAAATAAGATAGATGAGCTAAGATTAATTGCAAGTGCAGGAAACATAGATATTATTGCTATAACAGAGACCTGGCTCAATCTGAAAGATAGAAAGATGCCTCTGAATGTCACATAAAGGCTATAAATTTTCTCACACTGACAGGGTCAACAGGAAAGGTGGTGGAGTAGCGATGTATGTCAGAGACAATTTAAATTGTTGTGTTAGACAAGATATTAAATTAGAAGCGTCAGCCACTGAATCTGTTTGGTTACAGCTTCTCGAGGGCCGAGAAAAACTAATTTTGTGTGTGATTTACAGGGCCCCAAATCTTGATAGGGAGTGCAGTAAACTTCTATGGGACGAAATTCGTAAGGCATCTACATACGAAAATGTGCTAATGGGAGATTTCAACTATAGACAGATTGACTGGAGCAATTTGACAGGAAATTTAGAGTCAGGTGACTTTCTTGATACGATTCAGGATTGTTTTTTTTTAAAGCAGTTTGTGACAGAGCCAACTAGGGGAAATAACCTCCTTGACTTGGTTCTTGCCAGTAGGGAAACACTAATTAATAATCTTGAGGTTAATGATGAGCTTGGGGAAAGTGATCACAAATCACTCAGTTTTAATATATCATGGAATTCCCCTAATAATGGCAATCAAGTCTCTGTCCCTGACTTCTGCTTGGCTGATTTCATAGGACTGAAAAATTACTTAGGTGGGCTGAACTGGAATGACCTGACTAAGGGTCAGGTAGGTGGTGATGGTTGCCGATATGACGCTTTCAGGGCATAGTTCTAGCTGCTCAGTCAAATTATGTTCCAAATAGGGAAATAAGATCAAACAAAAATGATCCTAAATGGATGAACAATAGATTAAAGTATCTAACTGGTCAAAAGAGAGGCATATATAGGCAAATCAAAAGAGGAGAGGGGCAATTAAGAAATCGATATATTCAGTTAAAGAGAGAAATAAAAAAGGAATTAGAAAAGCAAAAAGAGGTTATGAGGTTAAAGTTGCAAGAGATTCGAAGACTAACCCAAAGGATTCTTTCAGGTATACAGAAGTAAGATCAGGACAAGATAGGCCTACTCAAAAGTTCCTCGGGTCAGCTCACTGACAGTGATAAGGAAATGTGTAGAAGTTTTAACACATACTTCCTCTCAGTTTTTACATGGGAGGATACCAGCGATATTCCAGTAATGATAAATTATGTAGAACAGGACGATAATAAACTGTGCACGATTAGGGTCACAAGTGACATGGTCCTTAGGCAAATAGATAAATTTAAACCTAACAAATCCCCAGGCCCTGATGAACTGTATGCAAGGGTTCTAAAGGAATGTAAAGAGGAACTTAGCAAACCTTTGGCTAATCTTTTCAACATATCACTACAAACTGGCATGGTGCCAGATAAGTGGAAAATGGCAAATGTGATACCTATTTTCAAAGCAGGTGACAGGTCTTAGCTTCGAACTATAGACCAATAAGCCTAACCTCCATAGTGGGAAAATTTATGGAATCAATAATTGCCGAGGCAGTTCGTAGCCACCTTGAAAAGCATAAATTAATCAACGAATCTCAGCATGGTTTTAACAAAGGGGCGTTCCTGCCTTACGAATTTATTTAATTTTTTCACTAAGGTATTTGAGGAGGTAGATCATGGTAATGAATATGATATTGTGTATATGGACTTCAGTAAGGCTTTTGACAGGGTCCCACATCAGAGACTATTGAGGAAAATTAAGGCACATGGAATAGGAGGAGAAATTTTTTCCTGGATAGAGGCATGGTTGACAAATAGGCAGCAGAGTTTGCATAAATGGGGAGAAATCAGAGTGGGGAAGCGTCACGAGCGGTGTTCCACAGGGGTCAGTGTTGGGCCCCTGCTGTTCACAATATACATAAACGACATAGATGAGGGCATAAAGAGCGACATCAGCAAGTTTGCCGATGACACCAAAATAGCCCGTCGAATTCATTCTGAAGAGAACATTAGAGCACTCCAGGAAGATTTGAGTAGACTGATGCATTGGTTCGGAGAGGTGGCAGATGCAGTTTATATAGACAAATCAAAGTTCTAAATGTGGACAGGAACAATAACCATGGCATCATCTAAACCTAAATATGTAGATCTTATATTAGACGGATTGCGAAAAGATTAACAATAAAGATAAGTTTCTGGTTGCAGTATCTAAACCAAGACCACAGTGCATAATGTTCGCAATAAAGCTAATATATCTTGGCTTCATATCAAGGCATAAATAATAGGAGTCCTCAGGTTGTTCAACTTTAATTTCGGATTTTATACTCTGCACGTTTGAGTATACAGAAGGTCAATGCTTAGAAAATGCAAAGTGTGACAGGCAACTGCCTTTTATGTTCAGATTAGAGGTACAGCTAAGCACGAATTGCTAAAAGCTAATAGAATTTGGTCATACACGAAGCATAAATTAAAGGAATGTTGTTCAATATAACATCGCTGTCCTGATTAGAATATTTCAGATTACAGAAGGATATAAATGGAAAAGTACAAGGAGTGACAAATTATCCCAGTATCAGAAACCTTCCCTATGAGGACAGGGCTAAGGGCCTGAATCTGCACTCTCTAGAAAAGACGTAGAATTAGGGGGGATATGATTGAGGTGTATAAATGGAAGACAGGAATAAATAAAGGGGATGTTAATAGTGTGCTGAAAATATCTAGCCTAGACAGGACTCGCAGCAATGGTTTTAAGTTGGAAAAATTCAGATTCAGGAAGGATATAGGAAAGTACTGGTTTAGTAATAGAGTTGTGGATGAGTGGAACAAACTCTCAAGTACAGTCATAGAGGCCAGAACGTTGTGTAGCTTTAAAAATAGGTTGGATAAATACATGAGTGGGTGTGGGTGGGTGTGAGTTGGACCTGATTAGCTTGTGCTACCAGGACGGTTGCCGTGTTCCTCCCTTAAGTCAAGGTGACCTGACCTGACTAGGTTGGGTGCATTGGCTTAAGCCGGTAGGAGACTTGGACCTGCCTCGCATGGGCCAGTAGGCCTGCTGCAGTGTTCCTTCGTTCTTATGTTCTTATAACCATAATTTTCAAAGGGGAGGAGCGTATAAGCCAGCGGGAGGCCTCAGTAAAGACGACCTAAAGCTCTAGCGGCGGGTGATCATCTAAAACCCTCGTCAGGAAACACTTGTCCTACTTCCTGACAAATCTTACCTAGCCTACAGTCTTGCGCCTTAACCAAAGCTTGCGAGTTAGTCTTATAAAGCAAAATAATTTTGCCAAACAAGCAGTATGTATTACAGTAACTGCGAAATTCTATCGAAACATCATGAAATTAATATATTTCATTGATTTAAATACTAGCTAAATTTAGACTGACCTAAGATAGGTAGGTTTACGCTTAGTTATGTTTAATTAAAATTAGATTGATGTTTAGACCTTAAAGAAAAAAAATATTTTACACATGTTTTTAAGCATTAACATATATAGAACATATTTTTTTTCATTTTTGAAGTTGTCTATTTAACAGACTGCGTTTGTAGATGAATGGTTCAGAGAACCGACATGTTGATAAATTAGACACATGTGCAACTCTTGGGTATCTGTATTGAGGAAACGTTTCGCCACACAGTGGCTTCATCAGTCCATACATAGGAGAAACTTGAACAACAGGAGGAGAATGAGGTAATCAATCCCTCAACCTTGAGTCGATGTGTTCAGTCCATCAATCTTGAGTAGAATACGGCATATGAGCGGAGAAGCAGCTTATAAACCGTATGGCAGGAGAGGTGCAGCAGTCATAGGTGGTGTCACATTTGTTCAATGTGGAAGTAGGTCGTGCCCAAGAATTAGGCAAGCGAAGAATTCCTAAGTATTAAGATCCCAAGAAGTTGCAGTGTCTGACAGGTTTGTAGATGAATGATTCAGAGAACCGACATGTTGATAAATTAGACACATGTGCAACTCTTGGGTATCTGTATTGAGGAAACGTTTCGCCACACAGTGGCGAATTTATCAACAGACTGCGTAAAAGGCACAGCATGTGCACTGAAGTGTTGTTATTGGCATGTATCTTGTATGACGTTCTCTTAAGGCTGTGTATTGAGTTTATCTCCGCCACTGCCTCATCCAGGTTTTCCACTTTTCATCTGCCTCAAGACTGAAGACTTCTTCCTAACATGGCTACAGCTTATCTGTCCTATCAGCTTCCACCTTTGTTTGGCACGTTAAATCACACCGTGTTTAGTGACTTGTACGGCAGCAGATAGTGATGAACTCGCCTCAACAAAAGACGGTCCGACTTGGACCATTGACTTTGTCAATGGTCCAAGTCGGACCGAAACGTCGTCGTAAGCTTCTCTCTTTTATGTGCGGGTTATTTGTGTATCGTTCCAGTCACGATATTGTGCCTTTTTTTGTTATTTAAAAGACACGCGCTGCAGAACAAACTTTGGTTGGAAAATTTAGTGATTGTGTAGTGCTGTATCAAAATTTCGCTCTGTGTAGAAATTTATCAACGTTTTTCTCTAGAGCTTCATAATTTTTTTTTATCCCGTGCAGAGCATTAGCATGTACACAGAGCGGAATAACCCAATAAAGCTTACTCTGCAACGTGTTTTGTTTTGTGTGTAAGGTAAGACACATATGCAACAGTTAGACAACTTTATTCCGAAACGTTTCGCCTACACAGTAGGCTTCTTCAGTCGAATACAGAAAGTAGGCAGGAACAGTAGAGATGTGAAGACGATGTAATCAGTCCATCACCCTTAAAGTCGTAGAATTTGAGGTTGTCAGACCCTCGGCCTGGAGAAGTTCAGGCCGAGGGTCTGACAACCTCAAATTCTACGACTTTAAGGGTGATGGACTGATTACATCGTCTTCACATCTCTACTGTTCCTGCCTACTTTCTGTATTCGACTGAAGAAGCCTTACTGTGAGGCGAAACGTTTCGGAATAAAAGTTGTTAACTGTTGCTATGTGTTTACCTTACAACCTCTCGGTATTGTATACCATTTTGGTGTTTTGTTTTCACTATTGTCGGCGGTACGTCACGTGGATGATGAGCTCACCTTAGTGACGTGTGCATTGAGCACGACGTGTAGGTTGGGTCTAGAGGCTGAGGGCTTGATATAGGCATCGGCTGTGGACCATCTTACGCTATTCTTTGCGGTGATATCTACCTCAAAAAAACCTGGAAAATAGAGGTGGTAGTAATGATGCACGTGAAAGTAATTAAGTTGGTGATAGTAATAATGATCATCGAAATTGAAGGGGCATCTTGCCAGTAATAATTGTGGTATAGACTGCAATTCTTGTGTATTTTAACAGCCCCACGCACGCGTGTAGAAGCTGCATTCAAACATCCTAATGATATATTAAAAAAATGAACACTTTCCAGTGAGGTAACAACCCAAACGTAGACGTACATGAGAATAAATGTGTGTATACTTCGACCTCCGACTCGGCGGGTTCTCATCTTTCTGATGAGGGCCTCACCTGGTGATTGAGATATACAGACCACTTTTATTTTAGTTTCCGATTACATGTGGTTCCATTCATCTCATCCTAACACGGCACATTTACGTGTTAGCTCATTATGAAGTCACGTGGGCGCGAGATAAAGTGGACTACTCACCTATCTGGTCTGGGTCGCTAGGGTCCACTATATCGTACCCCATTTGTTTGCCGGCCCTCAAGAACCCCTCCAGCGCCGGGGTTCTCCAAACTCTGTTCTCCACCGTCACTGGTCCATCATACCCGTGTATAGAGGCTGTGGGAAAAGGTTTCGTTTAGATTTCAATGTTTTGGTTAAATTAATCATTGCTGAACTCTGGTGATCAGCATAAACTATACTGCAAAACTTGAGATTTCTTTAAACATTACACCATATATCGATAAAATGATTTTTTTTACGTCTAAATTCATAATATATTTTCATTTCGGTTATTTTAACTGGGATATTAGATTTTTTGCCCCCGAAGCGGCTAGTTTGTGCACTCCATATCCATCCTCTGAACGATAGCGCAAGAGCGTATGGATACACAAAAGGCCTAGGAACTAGGCCCCCGAAGGATTTATAAGAGTACATCTGGATTTATATCTACAGTTCGCTTATCTGTTGTAAGCAAATTTAGGAAATTATTTTCATTAACATCACATGAGTTATGCTATCTCTATATTCCTCAATAAGTGGACAATAAGCAGTGTTCAGAACCATAGGGCTGGAAACATATTTGCATATGGTGTGATCATGTGTGTGTGTCTGCCAAACTGTCAGAAGTACTGGTAACCAAGCCTATGCCTGGCTGCTACAGCAGTAAGTCTGTTCACATTGCAAGTTGCTCCATAAACGAACTTATTTACGTTTATGAAATAGTGCATTGTAGATCTCAGACTTCTAACTGCATTCCTGTAATAATGTTTCATTATTTACCTCTCTCCTAATATTATTCCTTATGCTAGGCACACACCAAAGCTATATTTTACATTTATCTTTAGGGGTACATTTTTGGCTAACGTATTAACTTTAATATGAAGGAGTAATCCAGTGTGTGATGGACTCTATAACAATTGTGCATTAATTCCTTTATCCCGAATTTTTGAGTATCTATGTCTGGCTTCTTCAGTAAGCATGCTGTTAGAAGAGTCACTATGTTAGTCAAGAGCCTTCAGTGATGACACAGTAATAATCAGAGTCAAGTTCAGTGTCATAAATATATAACTTTAGCACCATTAGGATGGCAAACAATTCATTTAGCAGTGTTGACGAAGAGTTGTTAATATACCCAACTCAAAATAATTCTTATCGTTCTTAACGAGGGAGGTAAACTGGGAGGAAAAAAAACGATAACTTAAACGTTGAATCCAGATGGCGTACTGACACAGTAGCGAAAAACGCAGGTTGCAGAACAAGTTTTTTTTATTATTAGGACAAACTTTACATTCAGTGGAAAAACTCTTCACAGAGCGAAACGTTGTTTCCGTAAAAGTTTGTTTTTGGAAAGGATTAATTCCACCAACATTACTGCCGACAAATCCACGTTACGTAGTAAAAACTAGATCATCAATCAAGTACATCGTATATTTATCATGTCTTGTGGCGATTCCTTGTGTCAGTGTTGCCTAGTATTCATTGTTTACTGTGTGAACACCTAATTTCTGCTCTCTCATTACAGCGATTTTGAGGGAGTTCCTCGGATGTATGTATGTTTTACCATTTGACCGTTTCCCAGGAAGCGCCCCACAACGGTCGACTAGCACTCAAGCGCCACTTTATTAGTATGTATGTATGTACTGATATACATAAGTACAATTATACAAAGTTAGGTGATTACAGTTATACGTACGTGTGTAAATTACGTAGGATAACCCCCCCTCCTAACAAAAAATAATAAAAAAGTCAATGACATAACCATTCTGGTCCTTGCAATAGCTTTGTTATTTAAAGCTTAGCTGTAAGATTAAACAGAAATTAATCTTGATTATAACCTTAAAAAATTAAACAACTAAGTAACTCAACTTCGTGAGAATCATTGAGGTAAAAAATAGGTACGATAGCATTAAAGTAAACAGTTATTTACAAGAACATTAAATAGAGAAAAACAGTTTACAATAATAGGTACACGAATTTAACTATAGGAAATCATTCTTCCGTTCTGTAGCTTCATTCATTAGGAACCTTTTAGCTCTCTTCCTGAACTGGTTAATATTAAGACTGGCTTTGACATGTTCAAGCAATCGTTTCCATTTCTTTATTAATGTATAATAAAAGGTGTTTGAGGCTTGACCACCTACTGTAGATACTATAAAATTGTTCATTTCCCCTATTACCATACTTATTTTGGTTCCTAACCTTGACAAATTTCGCTGCAAGATATTCTGGACACTAATTGTGAGCAATTTTATAAACATGATTTAACTTCAGCTGCTTTATTCTGTCTTCAACATTCAGCATATCCAGTTGTAATTCATTCTGGCCTACCTACTCTCTTGGACCCAAGACCCACGATGAATATCACCATTTTGTTCTGGGTGATAATGTACATGACATTGTATAAGAGCTAGACATGGGAGCCTGCAAGCCTCAGTAGGTAGATATTTTGGCTGTCTGTAGAGGAACTTAACCTGACATTCTAGGTGTCCCGTAGCTCGATCGCTGGCGCACTCAGCTTATACACTGAGGTCCGGAGTTCGAACCTCCGGTATGGCTGGAAAACATTAGGATGCGTTTCCATAAGACACCTGCTGTCCCTCTTCGCCCATCAGTGTAAAATGGGTACCTGGGTGTTAGTCGACTGGTGTGGGTCGCATCCTGGGACAAAACGACCTAATTTGCCCGAAATGTTCTGCCTGCATAACAAGCGGCTTTTTATATAGTAGTATGTCATTGATGTCAGTTTGGCCTGTCTACTTTGTACATGAACTAGTAGAAATAAAGATGCTATTACTACATAATTCACAGACCTGTCGCATATGTTCACTAGGTGAACAGATGCGACGGGTGTGAGGAAACTTGTCCCCTCCCCAATGTCTGCATCACAAGACCCTTGATACCTGCTAAGGACTTTTGATCTAAGGAATTGAAACTATCGTCTCCTTTATATCAAACTTGATTCAACCTCGTAGATTGAACGCTTCCCTGTGAATACAACTTCAAGAATAAGACATAACTGGAACCACCTGTAGATGATTTCTCCGCCTCCTATGAACCACCTACATCTGCAAATCGTTCAATGACATGCACCTTGGAAAGAATTGATCAACCTATAGCTAATACATCATTCATCCGCTAACAATGACAAGTCATCTGCCACCTTACATCTTGTAGTGTTAGTGATCCACTCGTCTCCATTTTACTATCCACCAACCTGCTGCAGACAATTTACTCACATGCTATACCATTCAGTAACCTAGACCTTCACAAACCCTCGACCCACTACATTAAGAACAGTTCACCTACATAATCCATGTAGATCATCCACCCACCCACCTGTTTTCGCGTTGACTTTGCCTCTGAAGTCTTCTAACTTCTTGAAGTAGGGATCAACGTCCTTGTATCCCCACCCAGGGTTGCCCATGGCCTCCCAGTTGTCGAAGTCCCTTCTGTTCCCTCTCACCCAGAACATAGAGTTGATGACTGATGACCCGCCGATGACGCGACCTCGTGGATAAGGAATGCGCTGTGGGAGAGTTTTTATTTTCACTGAGAGCAGTATTGAATTGGTATTATTTCTTGTGTTATATATATGTATGCACTTTGTTGTCTGGTGGCGTTAAGCGTTTAAATTTTCATCATCCATAGTCTGGCGTGGTTGGGTACTATTGACCCAGTTTAATATCCCATCAAGTTTCCCATGACCTCGCAACTGTTGGAATCCCTCCAGAAATTTTGAGAATTCTTGACTATACCGCAGGTAAGTATGGAGGGAATAAAAGCGTTTGGTAAGTTTGCGGCATTCAGTTGAAGAAATTCCCTTCAGTGGCTCGGTGAATCTCCGAAGTTCTAAATCGTTTTTTTTTTTTTATTTAGCAAGAGTTTCTTTGACACACTTTAATGTTAGCATGTATACCTTGATAGTTATTTTTTTCGAATGGCCACCTCCCTTATGGAAGTAAAAGTGAATTTGATTAAATTACAAATAATTCTTGTGTGTGACTTTCACCTTCACTAGTTAAGATTTTAGTCTTAACCTACTCCTCGAAATGTTATAGTTTCCCAGTATAATGACTCGGTATTTTCTACCAGAAAAAAAGAGGACATTTATCCCCTTACTTCTTCAACAGGACTGCTACCTGTGTCGTACGTTTACCCTAACCAGAGTTATATATTCCGACTTTTTATACCACACCTGGTTAATTATTCACGTATAATCATCTCTAGGACAACCAATTCTTAATGGTTGTTTAATCGCCAGATAATTTCACTCAGCATGATCCCTATTCCCTATACAATATTTTAAGTGTCAGTTGGGCAATTAGTCTTGGAACCTTCCTAGAGCGTTGGGATTTGTGAATTCTAGATGTTGCCAAGGAATGTCTCACGAATGGAAATTGAACAGTTGGCACTTCCACTTTCAACTTTCGCTGTATATCCACGTCACAGTATGCTTTATGATTACTATATTAACAGTCGTTAAATGTTCGCGACTGACGTGGAATATGAAGTGTGTAAAATCTGGCGAGGTAGAATGAGCCAGCTTGTTTACACAGCTGAAAACACAAGAGTCCCGAGTCTTTTTGCCGCATCCTCTACGTCTTCAACATTTGCCATGTTTATGATGTTGCAAAGTGGTGATCAACTCTGATATTCATTTTTATTTACTCTTGATATTAACGTTGTGTATTCAACTCTAGGGTCCGGTTTACCCTTATTCACTCTCTCTCTCTCTCTCTCTCTCTCTCTCTCTCTCTCTCTCTCTCTCTCACACACACACACACACACACACACACACACACACACACACATACATACATACATACAGTTGTGTCCTGCAAGGTGTGCAGCTTCTCGCCTGAGCTTCATAGCTCAAAAATCAAGAGTACGTACGGGTATGAAGAGAATGTGCAGGACTCATTTTTATTGGGACAGCGTTTCGCTCATGACATAAAGCTTTACCCTAAGCGAAATGCTGTCTCAATAAAAGCATATTTTGTCTTCATATCCATGTGTTTGCCTTGTGCCAGTCCCTGCAAGAAAGTACTTGCTTAGAACGCCCCCAGTTTATTTTTTGCATCTTTTCTGATGTAATAAAGTTGGTAGAATTACCGACAATATGTAAAGTAAAAGGACACAAGTGCAGCTAATGTGACATTTTTATTGTGGCAACGTTTCGCTCTCCAGAAGCTTTGTCAAGCCGTAACGGCTTGACAAAGCTCCTGGAAAGCGAAACGTTGCCACAATAAAAAAATGTCACAGCTGCACTTGTATCCTTTTACTTAACATCTTTTCTGATACGGTCATGACCCCCGCATGCGAGGTGGTCAGGATTGCTGGCAAGAAAAAATTAGTAGTGCCTAGGTAATTATTTATCAACATTTATTTTGTTTAGTGTAATAAAAGGTCATTGTAAATAGTCTTTAAATAATGGTGTTATATATAGGCTACTCTCATGTGGTTAATTGCCAGTATTCAGGTGCACTTTCCCACAATATTGAAATATATTGAGCAGGTACGTTTGTGAGGGTTTAGCTCTAGTACCTGGGCTCACCTCATAATTTCTATTGACTTTCGTGGAATGATTCTAGCCTATCTACTCTAAAGCCTTGTATGGAGTCAGTCTATTTTGGCATTTGTCTTTTTGTTCTTTATTTTTTCTCTTCAGCCTCTCTCCTTCATGGACTCCATCTCTTTCGTACCCCCTCTCTTTCCCTCTCCAGCCCTCACTTTAACACCTACATTATCTGTGAAGCCATTGAAGGATTTCTTCTGTCGAGTTGTGAAGTAGTTCCAGTCTGCGTCGCCCTGGAGGAGGAGCTGGTTGAAACCTGGGACGTGGCTCTCTGGAGGAGGGGGACCTCCAGCCTCCAGCAGAAGTACCCTCCACTGGGGAATTTCAGACAGTCTTGCCGCCAGTACGCTTCCTGCCGATCCTCCTCCCACTGTGCAGGGGACGGATAGCGAGAGAAAGAAAATGGTAAAAATTGGCGTCAACAAGGAATGCTACCTTACTAGGTTCGAGCCCAAGCGATTCATTAACATATCCCAGGAAGATTTAGTTCAGTCTACCCAACATCAACCAACAAAGATCAATAAGATTTAGTAGATACTACCCAAGAGCAGTGATAAGAAACTAGGAAGGCTTGAGAGTCTACATTGTCATAACGATGGCTAAAGCAGTTATTATTATTCTGTAAGTTATTTTACATTATAACAAATTATTATATAAATAAATTAGATTACTACTAAGGCTTTTTGAGTGTCACTAATTAGAGATTTAATTGTATTTTTTTTATTATTTAGACAATTTAACTGCACGATTACACTTGTATAAATATTATACAGGCTGCGACGCGTCTAATAAACGAAGAATAATACACAGAGGAAAAGTAATGACAGGAAGGTTTAAGATAATGACAAAGAAGGCTGATGGGGCTTATTGATAAAATTAACAGTAGGTCAGGCACGACTGGGGCAACGAAGCGAGCTACCAATATGACAATTTTCTTAATACCGTACTTGCTGTCCAAAGAATATACATCCCTATAGAACAACAAGATATAAAAGTTACCCGAAATGGATAGACAGACTTATAAACTGGAAGGACAGCGTATACAAGTAATTATAATGACAACGAGAGATCAAAAGCTCAGCAGTGTGGGGTTATGAAGCATCCAGTTGACTTACCGATGATAAAGTCGTACTGGTTGAGGAGCTTGGAGGAGGCATCATAGTAGTGTTCTCCAGATTCCCGAAGAATTACCACCAGCAGCAGACGCAACAGCGCCACCGGGATCGCTCGTATCCCTGGGAAGTACGTCATCCGTTTGATTTATTCACTTCACTGCTCTTCCGAGGTATCGTCTTGCCGTGCTGTCCCTGCAGTGGAATTTTATTTAATTAGAGGAGAGGTTTTTAGTGTAATTCGCCGAACATTTGAGGGCAACAAGGAAGCTTGGCCTTAGGTCTGAATAAATTATTATTATAATCATGGGAGTACTAAACCTTTTGGGGGTCATGCAGTGCCTGGGGGAATGAAAATGAAATTCCGTACATTACTGGGTAAAATATAGCTAAGGAAAATGTATTTTAACAAATATATCAGTATCTCCATATCCTCTAGAACAGAGGTCCCCAACCTGCGGCCCGGGAGCCGCATGTGGCCCATCTAGGAAATGGATGTGGCCCTCCCATGAAATTATGAATTTATTTTTACGTGGGTTCCACACTGCACAGTATCAACAGTTACAAAATATAAAATGTGGCCCTCCTTTAAATTTGACGTTTTAGATTGGCCCTTTTATATTTAAATGGTTGGGAACTATTGCTCTAAGAGAGAGAGAGAGAATACTTTTGATTTGCCTTTGATTGTGGTGCTGTCACTTTGTAGTCTGGGATCAGTGAGGGATCGGGTGTCTACCTACATTTTTGCCATTTGTTAGATACACCAACGAAATTGTTAAACCTTGCAGATATCTTGGTAAGCAGAGTTATCTTGATCTTCATCCATGCGTTTGTTTCCTCTTATTCTGTTTTTTGGTTCTCACCAATTCCTATATATATAAGCTGCTGTGGTTCCCTACTATGGCAAGTATCGATTTTAAAATCTGTTTATTAACATTTAATTAAAATTATTAAGATTATTGAACGCAAGTAGCTTGCTGATATGCTTGTACCTTTTACACCGGACTCGGGAATATTTCTGCGAATTGCTCCTGACACTAACTGATTGAACCTCTTGTTGTTGGGAAGAAGTCATTAGTAGGAAAAATTTCTGTCTTCTAGCTCTCAGTGACTCAGATGATCATATTCTCACTTTAGAATATAAAATTTATTATTTCTTCTCAATCGTTGTTGGAAATACTTTTATATATAATATATATATATATATATATATATATATATATATATATATATATATATATATATATATATATATATATATATATATATATATATATTGTATAATTTCCAGTCAAGGCGAGTCACCCCTCTCAAACAGATTCTCTTATGGTGGAAAGGTGGGTGGAGAGTGTGCCTTGATTATGGTGAGGGACACTTGATCCAGAGAACTGGATCTACCCTTACCTGCCTCGGATCAAACGTGATTACCTCAAATTCAGCATTCTCCAGTAATATAATCAAGTAGTTCATCTTCCCAAGTCAACGTGTTTGAATTTCAGGGTTACCGAGTGTGGCTCGTAGCTTTTGCTGGATTAGTGTCGTCAGTCATTGAAAGCTGCTGCTTTTGGTGACCCCGAGAGACTGTGAAGCTAGGGCTCTGCAGTCAAGTGACGTAATGTTTCTTATAGTGTGAGCATAAATAAAACCGTTCTCTGTTAGCGGAGACGGGAGAGTGTTTTTGGATAGTGACACGAGCGAGGCTGAAGTGGAGATTATGTAGATAATTGTGGTTTCTTAGAGAACAACATTTACAGTGAGCAGAATGTCAGGGTGAGCAGAATGTTAACGGTGAACAGAACGTTCACGGTGAACAGAACCTTCACGGTGAACAGAACGTTCACGGTGAACAGAACGTTCACGGTAGACGGAACGTTCACGGTAGACGGAACGTTCACGGTGAACGGAACGTTCGCGGTGAACGGAACGTTCGCGGTGAACGGAACGTTCGCGGTGAACGGAACGTTCGCGGTGAACGGAACGTTCGCGGTGAACGGAACGTTCGCGGTGAACGGAACGTTCACGGTAGACGGAACGTTCACGGTGAACGGAGCGTTCACGGTAGACGGAACGTTCACGGTGAACGGAGCGTTCACGATAGACGGAACGTTCCCAGTAGGTCGAACCCTCGCAGTAGACCGTACGTTGGCATTGGGCCTAATATTCGCAGAGGACGGGAAAGTGAATACTCCATGAATAAAGGATGGCAGGTGGCCCCTTCCATGAGCAGCATGGAGAATATGAGAAAGAAAGTTGTGTGTGTTGGCAGAATGTTAAATTGAAGCACAGACCAAATTATTATAATGAAGCGAGTCTTTCCACCTCGGGGGATGAGCGGGGGGGAGGTAACTCTAGCATAACGAAAATATTACACTTTTAGGGAAGCTCTTATGAACCGGGAGGAAGGTAAGCGGTTCACCGGGAAGGTAAACGTCGCACTGGGAAGGAGATAAAATGTTGCACCAGTAGGGTATAAATAAACTCTGCAGCGGAACCATAGCCCAAGCTTCGTCCCAAAGCGAAAGCATGATGCGTTGCCAAATTGATATTCTAGTCACAGCACTAATGTAGATATTTACTAAGCTGAGTGGAACCTAAGATACCTGAGAGAGAAAGTACCTCATGAAAGGCTATACATTCTTAATAATAGTCTGGTGTATTAACGTGAACGGCACCTAAATTATAAAGTGATAACAATTGCTTGTAGAGCAACAAATGAATAGAGGAGCACTGTACGCCAACTTTCTGGCACTTGTCACAGGTCTTGCTAATACCATCTATTTCATTGTCGTCGACACTGTTTGGCAGTTTATTCATTTCATCCACAATTGGTCTCAGACCGAGCCGTAGGGGCGTTGACCCCCAAAACCCTAATTCAGTACTATTCTACATCTTTCTATGTCTAAATTTATATTTAAAACCATTGTTGCTAATTCCATACTGGTTAAATATTTTCAGCACTTTTGAAATAGCTAAATTTGTTCATATCCATTTGCACACTAATCCTGTCACTTTCTAATTCTTCGCCCTTCCAGAGTGGAGCTTCATTGCTTTTAACACATCCTCGTGTGGAAAAATTACCGAAACAAGGGGGTTAATTCAATCATTTTTCAGTCGATCAGTCACTTTTCATTCTCCAGCGCGTTTGGGTCCATTCTTGATGATGACCATACCTCTCCTCTATGATATAAAACTTGACAATACAGCTTAAAATTGTAGTATAACTTCGGAACAATTATTACCATTTTTTTTTTTTTGCATAACCTGTATTCTAATGGTTTTTGTCCATTTCCAGTCAATACTATGGGAAAGTTGTTGTGAGGAGATGATGCATAATCAGTGACTTAATTGAACAAGTACACTGTGTACGACAATGGAACTTTAAAAAAAAAAATGTCTCTTGCGTTGTTGCACGAAGTAGGAGCTGTCTGTGTCGCATATGAAGTTGAATTTGCGACTTAAACCCACAAGGCTGTTAACTTTCTTATCACGAATGTCGTATGGCCAATCTCTCCTGCCCTTGCTTTCTATTGACGCTGTCAGAGCGGATAAGAATGTGCTAGTCATGTGCCCGGTTGTTAATTTTTAATTGTATATTTTCAAGATAACGGTTGAAGTTTGGCTGTTAGGACTGGTCGTTAATTAAGTTTACATAATGCAGTAGGATACTAAATAGTGCGGGTGCCCAGATCGTACCATGTTACGTAGAATACTTGCTTTATAAGAATACTCAAATCTAGCAATAATGTAAATCTCGAAACATACCTGGAGTATACCTGGAAAGGGTTTCGGGGCTCAGCGCCCCCGCGGCTCGGTCTGAGACATGGCCTCGTGGTGGATCAGGGTCTGATCAGCCAGGCTGTTACTGCTGGCCGCACGCAAACTGGCATATGAACCACAGCCCGGCTGGTCTGGTACTGACTTTAGGTGGCTGTCCAGTGCCTTCTTGAAGACAGCGAGAGGTCTATTGGTAATCCCCCTTATGTATGCTGGGAGGCAGTTGAACAGTCTTGGGCCCGGACACTTATTGTGTTCTCTCAGTGTACTCGTGGTGCCCGTACTTTTCATTGGGGGAATGTTGCATCTCCTGCCGTCTTTTGCTTTCATAGGGGATGATTTTCGTGTGCAAGTTTAGTACTAATCCCTCTAGGATTTTCCAAGTGTATATTATCATGCATCTCGCCTGCGTTCCAGGGAATACAAATCAAGGGACTTCAGTAAGGCACCCAAGTGCCTTATTGTACTTGTGTGCCGTGAAAGTTCTTTGTACAGCAGTATTCCAGCCTAGAGAGAAGCGAGTTGAAGAGAATCATTATGGGCTTGGTGTCCCTAGTTTTGAAGGTTCTCATTATCCATCCTGTCATTTTCCTAGCAGATGCGGTAAATACATTGTTGTGGTCTTTGTTGGCGAGATCCTCTGATATTATCACTCCCAGATCCTTCACATTGCTTTTTCGCTCTGTTGTATGGTTAGAATTTGTTGTATACCCTGATGCAGTTTAAATTTCCTCAATTTTTCCATATCCGAGTAGTTGAAATTTCTCTTCATTGTACTTCACATTGTTTTGAGTGGCCCATTTGAAGATTTGGCTGATGTCCGCTTGGAGTCTTGCGGTGTCTTCGATGGAGGTCATTGTCATGGCAGTTCGGGTGTCATCCCCAAAAGAAGACATCTCTTTCAGATATGAGAATGAAGAACAGGATGGGAGCGAGTACTGTGCCTTGTGGAACAGAGCATTTCACCGTAGCTGCCTCAAACTTGACTCTGTTTACTATTACTCGTGTTCTATTTGTCAGGAAGTTATAGATCCATCTACCAGTTTTTCCTGTTATTCCTTTATCACTCATTTTGTGCACTATTACACAATGGTTGCACTTGTCGAAAGCTTTTGCAAAGTCTGTGTATATATCTGTATTTTGTTTATCCTCTACGTCTACAGTATCCAGGACCTTGTCATAGTGGTCCAGTAGCTGGGACAGGCAGGAGCGACCTGCTATAAACCCGTATTGCCCTGTGTTGTGTAATTGATGGATATCTAGGTGGTTGGCGATCTTGCTTCTTAGAACCCTTTCAAAAGTTTTTATGATATGGGATGTTAGTGTTATCGGTCTGTAGTTCTTTGCAACTGCTTTACTGGCACCTTTGTAGAGTGGGGCTATGTAGTTTATATCGGGGTTCTTCACTCATGATAGTTCCT